CGACCGAAGTAGATCGTCGCATAATCGCGATGACAAAACAAAATCTGGAAACAATGGCAGCTTTTTACCTTGCTTTACAAACCGAAAGATACAGCGTGAAAAAAAACTGGGGTACTTGTATTCGTACTGGCACATATCTCGATTTATTAAACGAAGGTAGAGAAAGTGTCTTTAAAAGTAAAATAAGGATGAGTAAAGAAGCCTTCAAAGACGCAGTCAGAGCTTTTGGTGATTATGAGGAGTTCGAGAACTTCACGAAAGAGAAAATTGAGCTTCATTTCTTGATCACTTTTCATCGATTGGGATGTAAAGGAAATGCTGCTTCGATCACGCAGGTATCCGATTACTTTGGTGTTTCTGGTATGACAAAAAAACGCTCAGATTTATTATGATCTAACATTGAAAGTAGAAGGTACTGTGATCAATTACACCAAGAGAACCATAAATGCAATTCTGGCTAAAGAAAGTCAGTATGTTTACTGGCCAGCTGCGGAAGAAAGGGAACATATATCAAAGAAGATAGGCGAAAGAAGCCACTTCAAGTCATGCGTCGGATTTGTCGATGGTACATTTATAAGAACCGAGCGTAGTCCCAGCTATGCCAAGAATAATTCTTATTCTTATAAACGTGCGTATGGTATCTCTACAATGCTCGTTTGTGATCACAAACGAAGAATTCGTGTTTGTGTCACTGGATGTCCTGGTGCTATTCATGATAATAATGTTTATCAAGCAACAAATCTGGCCAAATCCCCACATAGATATTTCTCTCCTGGTGAATATATATTAGCTGATAGTGAATACAGTGTCACCTCGACTGTCATCTCATCATACAGAACCGGTTCATTACAGGCTACAAAAGAAGAAATAGAGAAATTTAATTTGTATGTAGCTCAAACTCGTATCGCAATTGAACATTGCAATGGAATTCTGAAAGGAAAGTTCCAAAGCCTTCAAGAGCTTCGTATTACAATTCGTGACAGGAAAACTTTGATCGAAGCAGGAAAATGGATTCGTGCTTGTTGCATTATGCATAATTTCCTTTTAGATGATTCAACTGACATAGAGGAGTTCAGAGAGGCCAATGGACATAGAAGATTCATCAGTAGTTCGCAGAATAGGTCAGATGATGATAGTAGTTTAAATTTCAGAAGAAATCAGTTGAAGAATGATATATTGCATAACAACGCTCAAAATTAATAAACATTTATTTAAAAAAAAAATAGGTTAATAATCTGCAAGGTCTTCCATGAACTTCTTTATGGTTTCATATCCTTCAGATTCTTTTTCTTCGTTTCGAAGTTCTTTATTTAAAAGCAGCCATTGCTTTTGTCTCTCGAATATCATTGCTACTCTCTCGTCATCTCTCTTTTCTCTTTGAAACTCCAATAGCTCGTCCTCGCGATCTTCATATTTCTTAGATGCTTTTTTTTTGTCTCTCAAAGAAGTCGGTAATGCACTCATTGAGACTCCTCTTTTTTCCTCTACTTTGTCTAGGCGAAGGTGATCTAGTAGAAGAGAGGGGCAAAACATCGTCATCATCATCATCATCATCATCCAAGTTGACATCATCAACATCATCCATGTTAGTTGAATGAACATCGTCTTCATGATCAGGCTGTTCATCATACGCACTTAAATCAGGAGTCCCACTGACGATATTCCCATTTGACTGCATTCCTTCACCAGTTACAAGTGGATCCGAGCCAAGTAAAGGGAGAAGATCATAATACCACTTAAACAAATGAGTGGTTTTCTCTAAAAGTTTAGATATAGTAAGTTAAACAAATTTAACGGTATAATAGTTAGCAGTTAGTAGTTTTCTTCTTACCTTCAACAGTGACGTTACCATCAACAGCAGGATCAACACCATATCCAGTAGCGGTTACCGTCTTGTAAGTAGCGGTAAATGATTTTTTCAAATATCTAATCGTCTCTATGATACTTTTTGTGCTTCTTTCACGATGTCCTCTGTTGACGAGGATTTGGGCCAGCTTTTTCGCCATACCTGTTTGGCTTTCGGCTTCACCTGGTTTTTGACTTTCACATCCGCTGAATTTACTCCAATTTTCTCCTACTAGCATCCATTCAACCACAATATCTTTTGAGCACTTGCCATTACTATCGTAGTCATTGATCCAGCTCTTTGCATTCGGGATCTTGTCTGTAACACCAGGACGACTATTAGTTGTGGAGCTTCCCTGGGGTTTAGGGGTAGCTGCAGACAGACGTGGAGTTGTTTCCAGTTCCTCAGTTTGTTGAGGTCTAGGCTGAATGTTGACAGGTGTTTGGTTCATTTTTAAAATTTTATGTGATATTTAAGATGAAATGAAGGACAATCCGCTACGTTTTTTTTTTTTATATAACACTCATCATCATATCGGGAGCCAAAAATTATACTTTGTAATGACATAAGGCCTCTTCTAGTACATCTTTCTCTACTATCTTTCATCATACGTTCCTCATTGATTCATTACATCATGTTCAGGACCTCCTCCAATCAAATCTTATTCTGAGTAAAAGTTTGGAATCTAAAAGCTGGCCACAAAAAAATATCATTCAGTAATATAGGCAGGATCTTTGACGGTGGTTATTCAGAGGAGTTAGAATAAACACAAAATATACGGGATTAGAATTGGCAGTGAAACAATGACAATAAATCCAATACTGTTGAAAAAGACTACAATAACACGCGTATGAAGATATACAGATGATATAAGAGACAGATATTCAATTATAAATTACAGTGATTAAACGAAGCTTATCCAACAAAAGCTTAATAACCCAAACTAAAATATAACAGAAAGAACGATGATTTATTTCAGTGTGTGGGTGAACAAAATTAAAAACCAAACTTTCTCAGTCACACAGAGCCAAAACCCAAATCTTCACTACTATTCAAGTTTATAGTTTTTTATGCAAATCTTTATTAAACATCGGACAAAGAAAAAAATTTGCTGGAAGCTGGAACCTGGAGGCTCGATTTTATTTGAGCGTCCCTAATCCTGTACATAAATTAAATGATCGGTATTTAATATAAAGTTTCAATAAGAATTACGTTTAGGATTATCAAATGGAAGTTTTAAGAAATGTGGATAGATTCGTATATTAAGTATGTAGCCTCAATTACGACAGACTACTCAGCGTACACTGTAATACATAGAGTACAGCGTAAATGAATGGGATCCTACATAGCCAAGAAGGCTTATCAATAGTTTCTGCTAGGTGCAAACAGTAAAATTGTTGGCTTAAATTTTTATATCATTTATTTGAGAATACTAGATTTTTTAGATACGTTTTGTCGTATTTGTGTTGTGATCGAGCCTATATACAGATATAACTTTATCATCGATTCTTTCTTTCTTATTTGATGACCTTTCTATAAACCATTATTATATTACTCTTTAAATTAAATACATGCTATTACACTATATTTACTACGCATTGATTACTCATCAAGATATAGAAAACAGTAGTCATACATTTATTCCAAATAATACAATCCAATGATATGATCGGTCTTTAATTGATAATACGCCTATTGTATATTTGACAGGTTTCACTCTAATGATTGATATTCAACCAGCCATGAATATGTATATAAAGAACCCAATTTATTGTATAATAAAGAGATTAGTTTATTTTTGCAGTTTGATAATTTTACTTCGTCAAATTTCTTATTTTTATTCTTAATTCGTTATTTTATCTCTCGAATTACTCAATTTGAAGCTTAAAAAAATCGAATACAATTACTATTTAATCTGTCTTGAGTTATAATATACTTCGTATATTATAACAGACTCAGTACCAGTTCTCATAATCTTCTACCTGGAAATCATACCTTACATCCAACCCCGGTTGGCTGATTTACTGCGGTTCCTTCTAGCACCTACAATGAGTAATCAAGTAATCCAATCATCGCACATATTGCTAAATGGATAAATGATTTATCTGCTAGAAATTCCGGACATACGAACATAGGCTTACTTAGTTATATTTTATAAGCTGTGTTTCATGTCGTTATTGATTTATACTTCAAATCCAACAATTCCCAGTCTCTGGAAATGTTTATTCGATCTACGCAGAAATTAATTAAGGTAATAATTTAATATAAAAGGACCTCTATTTTTATCATGAAAAACTCTCCAACTTATAATAAAGGATTAAAGAGTCTCATTATTCTTTACTTGTTAATTTTAATCTTTATATTTTTACCCTTTTATACTCAAATTATCTCACGTTTGTTAATCTACATTTGATTGCAAGACTGAACCATTAAAATCAGAAACTAAAGCGCAAAAAGAATAATGAAGTTGAGGGTATAGTTCAGAGAAAATGCCATAACCTGTCTTTTTACAGCCTTGAAGTTAAAGTGACTAAACTCGCTCATTTATTATACAATTGAGAGAAGTTCCTTGCTCGCTCGAATAAAAAAAAAGTGGCGCATGCTCGAATACAAAAACTTAGTTCGAGCTTTGTTCAAACTGGCGCAAGATCGGTGCAAGCTCGAAAGGTTGGAACACTACGAAAAGTCCTAAAAAACTACAAGAAAATTGTGTAAGTACGCCACAAATAATCATCCATTTGAATATATACATACTATCTAATGATATGCCTCCATCCAAAATATTTCTATACTTAATGAAGATCGGATCAAGTTTTAAAGAAGAAATAAAAGTGCCCGTTTCTGATACAAAATAAGGAATCGTTTAAATATATAACTGACAACACGGCTAAAATTTGGATAAAAAACGTATGCAACAATTACGTTTGGGAACCAATCAAAAAGAAAATACTGAGACTTTCTTTTAGAGCTTCCAATTATGGCCATCCATTTACTCTCGTCACTGTTGAGTCATTTTTTATTGAATAAGCCTTGAGTCCTTTCGAAAAACGTGCATTACCAATGTACTATAAAATATCAATACATTGTACTCAATAAATACTCCCTCTCTATATGCTTTATTTAATCCTAATAAAATGTTATAATGTGTTTGATTTTACTTTTGGACTTGAGATATCAAAAAGGTCATTTGCTCGGCGACGTCCGAAAGTCTTGTATCCTGTTCAGATCCACCGCCGCCAAAATGTCCTCTATCCAGATCCATCTTCAGTAAGGTGTTGGTAGCATCATAGATAGGTGGCGTGAAATGACGAATGCGAGCAACAAATTTAAGAGGTTGCCAGTAAGCCACTCGTTGATCCTTCATGCCGCCCGTAACAAATAAGGATGGTAATCGTGTATCAGGTTTGAACAATTTGGAGGAAATATTTTCGTAGGGAGAATAAGAACGTATTAAATCATAGGCTTTGGGATCTTGTGTGGGGTTTCCCCATTCGGGATATTCGATTTGTGTAAGAGGTAGTTCGGGGTTTAACATGGATGAAAGTGGGTCGACAAATGGGACTTTCAGGACGAGGGCCTTAAATAGATCGGGACGCATGTGAAGCATGGCGCCCACGAGGAGTCCCCCTGCACTGGTTCCCATGGCTGTCAAATGGTCGGGTGAGGTTAGTTTGGATTCGATTAAGCTCTCGGCAACAGATATAAAATCTTTAAAGCCATTCATCTTTTTATCCAGTTTTCCATCCTCGTACCAATCTTTTCCAAGCTCTCCTCCTCCTCTGATGTATTTCACATTTTAGTTTGCGTGTAGTTGAATTATTTTGCATTTAGTTACCTGACATGGGCTAGTGCTATTACCCATCCACGTTCAATAAGAGGAAACTGTTCTACACGGAAATCGATGTTGGTCGAAGTACCGTAAGCACCATACGATCTCATCAAAACAGGGTTTCTGAGCAGAAAACAAATAGTTTAACGAGAATTATAAAAAAATAGGTCGCGAAATAAATATGCATACCTTCCGTTCAGCTCAATATCCTTTCTGTGAATCAATGTGACTGGAATTTGTTTATCATCATGCGATTTAACGTGTGTTTGTGTACAGGTGAACTTTGACCTATCAAATTCTGATATGTCATTAGAAAACAAAATAAATTTAAAAAAGTGACGATGTACTTACTTTTGATGGTTTGGACACGAATAGGTTTAAGTTGATGTGCGGCCATATCGTATTCGTAGGTTGACTCATGGGTAAAAGGTGAAATGACAGAGAAGCGGAAAAAATCTGTATTAAAATCCAAATTGGTTCCTGGATGCACCTCACAAAATTTCTCTGGTAATTCTACTTGATGTGTTTCTTTTGTATGTAAATCATGACACAAAATCATGGGTAACCCATCTCTTCGGCCATAAATCACTACATTATTCTACAATGAAACATAATTATCGATACAACACAAGTAGAAAGAAAGAAATAAATAAAAAAAACTTTACTTGAAATAGATCCACATCTTCGATTTTTTCAGTGGGCTTCATGATGATAAGATCTTGCCAGTTTCCACTGCCAATGGCATGGTCGGAAGCTTGAACAAGTTTGAAATTTTTTGCATTGTCTGCATTTGTCAGGATATAAAAAGTGTCCTTATAGAGACGGGAGGTTAGTCTTTTGAGTCTGTTTATGTATATGTCTTTATCTTACATTATGATGATCTACATAGTATTCTATTCCGTACACCCGAGGTTTCACTAATTGTATTTCTGGCATTCCATTCTTATAATCGTGGTCTGATTTAATCACACGTACTTCAGAGGATGATAATGAGTTTGCGTTGATAGTAACATATTTCTAGAAAACAATGCGTGTCAATTATGTATACATATATTTCTGATTTAACTAAGTGTTTGTTTACTCCATCTTTTGAGCTTGTGATATCCACGAAAACAGTATCATCTAATTCCTCATATACCAAGACATCTTCGGATTGTTCTGTGCCGATAGTATGTGCATAAACCTATTTTTTGATGGACATCAGATTTTATTGGATCAAATATATATTCATTTTACCTGATATGGTCTTAATTGCGCATTGGGTACTGTGTAATAAACAACATGATCATTTGCCCAAACAAAATTAAATACGTTTTCCAACACTTCATTCTAATAATGAAAAGTGTATGCTTTTTTAGAACACATGTTGTATGATAATAACAAAAAAGAATTTACCTCCCAATGGCTTTTATTGTTTAAGTCTTTAAAATGTAATTCACCATATTCCATACCTTCTCTTTCGGTATTGTAGGCAAAAATCGAGTGATCTGGGGATAAAAGCACTTTACGTATCGACATGTTCATGGATCTGAGAAAGCCCGAGTTCAAGAGTACTTGCTACAAACATAATTAGCATATATTTTAATTTCATTCAGTGATTTTTTTTTTACTTCAGGTGCATTATTTCCTTCTCCCAGTTTCTTTCGAAGATAGACCATGCCATAAGCAGAGGTTGTGGAATAATACTCGAAACCATGGGCTACGGTTTTTAATGGTGCTAAGGTATTAGGTATATATAACCTCCTCTTCATTTCCTGTAAAACAACCTTGTGTAAAAATTTATGCCGACGCATGGCTTGACGCGTAAACTCATTTTCCGACTGGATATAGGAGCCAAGATGCTATAAATAAAAACTAGTAAGTGGCTGCTGTGCCTTACTATTTTTAAACATACTGGATCCGATATGTTTTCCATCCAAGAAAATAGATCTTGCCGAGTTTTTCCATGATGTAATTGGATATCACTGACTGTTTTAGGTCTAGGCACTTTGCTTTTACTTTTTTAGAAAATTAAAGTTAGTACATAAAACTGCCAAAAGTAGGCAATGTTACCTTTGAAAGATGTCCTTAATGGAAGAGAATAATGTTCTCGTCTGTTGATACCTGGACGTGCTGTTGATTCGACTATGAGGCTCTTATGACACAATGACATCCAATGACAAACTTACTATAGACATGGCGTTCTCCTAATGACAATCATTTTTGTATGAGCAAAGTTTTGCTCTGGAGAGGAGTTACTAGGGAAGAAATGTATGGAGAGAAAAAAAAAGAGGTCACACACCCCTTTTTTGACATCTAATTTGTCGGAGAAGAGGCTACAAATGCGCATTAAAACGGCCTGCTTCATGTGATATGGGGCGAAAAAGAGAGGTGACTTTTTATTTTAGCATCATGATCCCACGCCCTGTTTAAATATTTTATCTTTTTTATAATTTCTTCTTTCTTCTTTCTCTTTCTCACTTATCAATATGCACCCTGCGTTAGTGTTTGGTATAGTTATTGGTGGTGCGCTTGTATTATGGGGTGGATATGAAGCTGTCAACACGATATACGAATGGCATCAGGATAGGCAGGAACAAAAGAGTTATGAAGAATATGTCAAAGCCCATGCAGAAAAAGGCAGACTTGTACCCGTCACTCTCTTTGAAAATCATGACGAAGATGATGAAGAAGATGATGAACCATTGGGTGTATGGCAAAAGAGAGACTCAATGCATAGCCAACTGAGACATAGAAACAATCATTCTTCATCTGAAGAGGTAAAAACGTTAAAGGTATAATAATTTAAAATTCCCATTGCTTATTTGTCTATAGCCGTCGCATCAATATGAATTGCTTGAAATGCAAAGGTCTTTATCGAGCAGAAGAAGTCTTCTGGAGAGAGAAAGTGCGCTGTTGCAACAACAAGAAGCTGAATTTGAAAGAAAAAGAATGATACTTCGTTCCAAAGGCAATAATATCACGGGTGTATTTAAGGATGATAGTGATCTTGAGCAGAATCCATTTGAGTTTGTTCAGAGCTCACATTCATCCATTTATCAAGAACAAACGAAAAACCCGTTTGACGATCCAGCGCCCACAGCTATAACAAAAGAGGAGGATCTACAGGAGAGGGGTGCAACCCATAAAAGATATCCTTCTTCTGACGACGGAAGCTGGTCGGATTTCATGATGGAAGACTCAGCAGACGATCACATTACAAAAGGAAATTTTATTTCTTAAATTTATCAATAAATTCTTGTTTAAAGGAAGAGTTCTTTGGCATGATGATAAAGGAGGGTACACCATTTTTAACAGTGTATTGTTCTAACGACAAGATCTTTCCTAAGGGTAATTTCTTACCAATCTTGATGAGTTTAGGGTTTAATCCACGTGTGTCCTCGAAATAAACCTCCACAGAATCGGCATTGTATTCTCTACGAGCATCCCATGGTGCAGGTTGTTCAAACATGACTTGTAAATGATCGTAGAAAGTGTGTGTCTCGTTGAACTGTTGGATATAATCACTTTCTTTATATTCGGGATATAAAAAGAAAACGGGCCAGTTCAATGTTTGCGTCTCATGATCGAATTCAATAGCAGCCTTTTCATACACGTCTTTATCTACAATTTCCATCTTGATCTTACGTTCCTCTAATGCCTTTGCCAATATCGCCTTCTTATTGCGTTCTCGTTCCTCACGTTCTTCCTTTTGTCGAATCTTTTCATCAATCTCGTTCTTACGTTTCAATGCCTTTTCACGTATGTCTTTGATATTTTTATTTTCTGCGTCAACAGTAAGTGCATGATCACAACAATCAATCGTTTCCACTAACTTGTCTAATGCAAGCAACGCTCTGGCCGATCGATAAAGAGCTTTGACGTTTTTGGGATTGATCTTGAGGCACTTGGAACAATCTGTCAAGACGCGACCATAGTTTTTTAATTCGAGGTTACACGCTGCTCTGTTGGCTAAACAGGCTTCAATGATGGAGCTGTCTTTACACTCCGTGTCGATGGCTTTGGAGTAAAAGATGATGGCGTCGGGATATTTAGCTTTACCTGCACGGAAACAGTCGTTGCCTTGTTCTTTGAAATTTAATGCCACCTCTATTTTTGGGTGCAATAAGTATTGATACTGCAAGAAATCTTTTATCATCTCCCTTCTTACCTTCGGGTGTGCCGTCAAAAACAAGCGACTGGAGGGCCGCTAAAGTATCGTTTTCTTCGGCGGGTAAGTCGCTCATAAAGAGTGGCACTTTAGCCAACTCTTCCTCTAAATTCTCGGGGTCCATGGTGTATTCACTCTTGTATCTTTGAGGTCCTGCCTCCACATGTTGTTCTGACATTGTTTGAAATTAACAGAAATAAAGAGAGAGAGAAAATAATAAGCGCAGTAGCATATGCTAGAAAGAAAAAAAAATCTAAGCCACGCTCAAGGTATATATAGAGTCGCATTTATTCACCCCCCGCATTGTTTTTGAAGCAATAGACTTTTATCCGCAAACCTCCCAAAAATGTATAAAGCCAGAATTGGACTATTGACAAGAACTCTGTTATCACAGAGACAAATACCTCAAAAACAAGTGAGGATTTTACAAGCCTACTCTTCCTTACGTAAAGTTAGACAACCTGGTAAGTCATTGGGAACAAAGAAAGTTTGGAAAAGAGAATGTTGAACTTTCTTTCATACGTTAGGTCCGCGTAGTCGTGTATTGAGTCATGTTGAACCTCTTAGAAAGACTCGTACTCCTGTGGCACCTCAAGCAGCCAGTGCAGTGGAAGGTGGTTTAGAGCACAATGACGACACTGTCGACAACACTACAAGTCCCATTAGTGACACACTTGTCCAAGTACCTACAGATGCAGAGCACCAAGTGATAAAACCCGACTCAGCTGGAGCAGCCTTGTTGACACAACCTGCGATTGTGGTGGGAAGAGAACTGGAGATGATGAATGTGTTTTTAGGATACGAGCAAGCCAACAAGTATAAGATTATGGATGCCAATGGCAACCATCTTGGATATATTGCAGAGGAAGAAGGATTTGGTAAAAGCATCAGTAGACAATTATTGCGTACACATCGAAAGATGAATGCCACGATTTTGAATCTGGAAGGTGATGTCATGTTCAAGATTGTTCGACCTTATTCTTTAGTGAATAGCCGCATCTATATTTATACTGCGGATGATGAATTAGTCGGAGAAGTGCAACAACGTTGGAATTTGGTGAGAAGAAAATACGACTTGTTTGTTGGTACCTCTCAATTTGCCTCGATTGATACACCCTTTTTGGGTTGGGACTTCAATTTGACAGATGAACATGGAGGTGCATTGGGTAATGTCAGCCGAAACTTTGTTGGTTTTGCAAGAGAAATATTTACAGATACAGGTGAATATGTCTTGAGAATGGATGCTGTCGATGGTAATTCAAGAGGTATGACCTTGGATGAAAGAGCCGTAACATTGGCCTGTGCTATTTCAATTGATTTTGATTATTTTTCAAGACACTCAAGTCATGGCGGTGGTGGATTCTTACCGTTTCCCATGATGATGGGAGGTGGTGAACGTCATGAAGGTGAAGTGGATGGTGGCGCTGTGACTGGTGGCGCTGCTGCTGGTGGAGCAACTGGCGCTGCCACTGGAGGTGCTGTGGGTGCTGCTGGTGGTGACTTTGGTGGTGGTAGCTATGGCTCTGGTGATTACGGTTCTGCATCCACACCCCCACCTCCACCTCCACCTCCAGCGGAGAATACAAATGAATGGGGAGATCCTTGGTTATCTGATGAACAAGCTGGTGTATCCAATCCTGATGACGAAGGAGGTTTTTTTGATAGCTTGAGCGACTTTTTTGGCGACAGCAATTAAATAAAAAAATAAAAAGTTTAAATTTTGTACTTCTTTTTTCGTTTCTATTATTTTTCCACCTTTTTTACAGTATATCAATGTTGAAAAGCCGTCTTGTGTTTAGTGCAGTTCTCAAACGAAAGTTTCATGCATTGCCTAGTTTTGAAAAGTTTGTCATCACGCCCGAGATTAAGTCGGCTATCCTTCAAGGAAGACCTGTAGTTGCTTTGGAATCCACAATCATCAGTCATGGTAAAAAAAACTATACGCAGGAGCACTGTGATTTTATCTAACAGCTAAACAGGTATGCCGTATCCTCAGAATGTAGAGACAGCCAAAGCAGTAGAAGATATTATTCGAGATCAAGGTGCTATTCCTGCCACTATTGCTCTCTTAGACGGCAAAGTTCATATTGGTATAAAAAAGAAATGACATAGAAAAATTATTTATCTTTAATTCACACGCTCATTATAGGTTTGACGGATGAAACTTTGGAACTTTTGGGTAAAGTAGGTATCGGAGCACAAAAAGCTTCGCGACGTGATTTATCCGTCGTGCTTGCTCAAAAAAAAGTAGGAGCAACCACGGTTGCAAGCACAATGATTTTAGCAAGAGCTGCGGGTATTTCTGTATTTGTTACCGGTGGCATTGGCGGTGTTCATCGAGGCGCAGAATCATGTAAAATCACCCATTTTATGAAAGAAAAAAATGTAGACTAAATCATGGAAAGATTAGCTTTTGATATTAGTGCGGATTTAACAGAGTTGGGAAGAACTCCGGTTGCTGTAGTATGTGCTGGCGTCAAGAGTATCTTAGATATTCCCAAGACATTGGAGGTCTTGGAAACCCAAGGTGTGACAGTAACTACTGTAGGCCCAAATAACAAGTTCCCCGCTTTTTATACCCCTGAAAGTGGATACAACGTAAGCCAATCTACTTTTATCGACTGATAAGTGTACCTAACAAAATGTAGAGTCCCTATCATGTAGATAATTCCTTGGATGCTGCCCGCATGATTCGTAAGTGATCGTGCGTATGTTTCTATAAAGTACAAAATTTGATAATACGTGTATGTAGAGGCCAATCATGAGTTGGAGTTAAATAGTGGTATGGTATTTGCGGTACCTATTCCTAGTGAATCTGCAGCTGATGCAAAATCTATTGTAAATGCCATTGATGCCGCCATCAGTGAAGCAAGGTAAATCCTTTTCAGGGACTGATTTATTTAAAATAACCCATTGTTTCTTTTTATTAATACAGATCAAGCAATGTGCGTGGTAAAGATGAGACACCCTTCTTATTGAAGCGTATTGCCGAACTCACTAAAGGGGAATCTCTTGCTGCCAGTAAAACAAAAACTTTATATGCAAAAAAAGCAGTAATACTGATCAATTTATTTTTTATATGCAGATATTGCGCTTGTTAAAAACAATGCAAAGATTGGTGGACAAATTGCTGCCCATTTAGCCCAACTCAAAAAAACGGTATAAGATAGAGTATTTTACTTTAAAAAGTCGTTCTGGTTACCATCCTCAAGTGCTTGAACGACATCTTTCCAAACATTAGCACTCTGTGGAAAATAAAAATAAAAAAGTTAAGATGTATAAACCAGATACAATAACATTTAAACTTACATCTTGATAAAAATTGACTTTTGCTTCGGTATAAGATTTAAGAACATCATGCATTTCTATAGCTTTATTCTTGTTGAAAAGTGCATCTTCTTTTTTGACCTGATCTGAAAAGGCAGTAGAGATTTGAAGCGTTTGATCAATGGCCTCTTTTAATTCTCTTGTTCGCTCCTCTAATTTGACGGATTTTTCTCTCTTAATTCTATCCGGGTCAGCGCCTCTAATTTCATTTAACTTTGCAGTGATGTAACTGGCCACACCGCTGTCTATTTTCTCTCGGTCCTGTGTGGTTGCTTGTAAATAATCCGAGAGTTCTTCAAAATCGAGCTGTTTTTGATCTCTGAGTTTCAAAACATCAGTTACTGCATGATAATACGCCATGTAGTCCTGCACCTCAATCAGCCATTCATCGTCATGAGCATGGATTCCTTTGAGGTTTTGTGTGTATCGTTCAAGGCCTTGAGCAAATGAGGTTAGATCCGACTTGTAAGAAGGCTCTATATCGGCTAATCCACGCACACTCTTTGTAAAATCTTCATAATCATGACATAGATCCTCTGAGCGTTTCTGTGTTCTGGCGAGTGTCTTTTGTAACATGTCAAGATTATCCTGCATCAAATGGTTGTGTTCCTTCATATCAATAAACTTTTGATCGGGTTTGCGTATCTTTGAGAACGCATTGAGTAAAGAATCTCCAATGGTGTCAATCACAGTCTCTTGTCCTTCACGTAAAGCTCTCGCTGAAGCATCATTCTAATAAAGAAAAATTCCCGTTATTAAACAAAAAAGCAATAAATCAGAATGAATTGAGACTTACAAAGTCGGGAGATTGGAGAAACATGATGAAAAAGTCTGCTTTTCCAAGTATAGGATGTCTTGCGATCCGTTGAACAAATCTTTCAAGACTGATTCTTCTCTTTTCAATAAAATCCGAGCTGAAGCGATCCCCTTTTACGTATTCTATACACGTGATAGGTTTACAATCAATTAAAGAAAAAGAATGACGCTATTTGTATTACCTAAACGGTGTTTATCAGGCAACGGAGGGACAAAACATGCAGGAAAGTGTGTATAAAGTACATTATGAAGCCAAACAAAATCTTGAAACCGTCTCCGCGACTTTCTGTTCTGTAGTAAATATAATAAAATTAGCGTGTTGCTTCTTAAAGAAAAGCAGTAAAAAGAGTGCATCAATGTTTTAACCTTACTTGGGACTCCACCAGATAGGATATAAAAGATCCTTGTCCCTCTGTTTCTTTTCTGGGTGCAGTGACCACCACTTGTATCTCGGACTGAAGACTACTGGTACTACTCGTCATACTCTCGTGTTGACTGGCATCGTTACTAAAACCTGAGACTTTATCAGATATATCAATGTCTTCATGAAAGGATTCGGCAAAATACTGTGGTCAATATACAAAAAAATAAAATGTCAATGGTGTGTGAAATAAAGTCGTAAGGAGTTATACATTATGTGAGTTCAAGACAGCTGGTTCATGACTGACATCATTTAAAGGGTCAAGCAAAGCATTATCTGAAGCTTGCAGTACGTCCCATTGTACGTTGAATTGATCTTCTGTTGAATGCGCCATTCGTGTGTGTCTTTGTGTGTGTGTCTGTGTGTGTAAAGGAAGAAAAGAGGGTTAGGAGAGAAAAAAAAGCTGAGCTGTTGTTAAAAAAGGATCATGATATTTGTAATTCCGTTTTCCCAAACAATAACAGCTGCACGAAAAGGCTAAATACGACTCTTTTCGTCACAATGTATATGCAGCTTGTGCATAGAAACATAGAAATGGATTGATCTCCTTAATAAATTATTATAAAAATATATTCTGTAATAAGTAAATAAAAGTACATACATAGAGAGAGAGAGAGGAAAGGAAAAGAAAGTGAAAATAGATAACGTAAAATTATATTTAATCCAAACTATGACTTCGATAAAAATCAATAGCTTCCGATGTCTGTCGTAGTGTGGCGATGTGTGCCGATGTGTCTCTCACTGTTTATCGTACTGTGTCGTTGTACGTCGTTGTGTGCCGGCTGAAATAAAAGTTATTGACGGTTATAATATGAAAAAAACTGATATATTTATTTTTAATAGTTCGATGATAAATTAAGAAATCCTGTGCAGGCTCTTTGAGCCACATAATAATTTAGATAACCATAAACTTCCGTACAATACTAAGGACTAAATATTAATTATCTTTATGCGCCGATGCAGTTCCTTCAGGATATGCTATATCAAAGGCTGATTTGTTCCTTGTTAAAAGTTTCATTAATACGAACCAGTTCTTTTAATTCAACTAGCAGGTACGCTAATATTTCAAATACTCGTAGCCAATTACACTCGATTGGAATCCGTGCTGTCTGTACCACCTTGTAGAGATACTTGGTCATAGTTTGTTTCTGTTAAGGTGATCGCCATTTCAATAGCCTGCACGCCAAAGATCTTAACCTGTCTCAATGTTTTAAAGCCTGCATCCATATTTGTCATTGTGAATCCCTTTCAGTCTTGAAAAACAATTGCTTATTTGTTTGGAGGTATCGCTGATAGTATGATGGATTTTTTCTTGATGTTTGTCGTATCTGACGTCTAATTCCACGAATATAATTACTTCTTAACTTGTCACTCAATTATAATATATATGCCTTATGTATTATACATATCATATTGCGAATATATTCCTATTGGTTTGACACAATACCAGCTCACCCTATATGTCAAACCGAGATCAGATTCCATTTAATCGTTTCTGGATTGGTCTAATAGATGTCGACGCTTCTGATCTCTCATAAATTTATTTAGTAATCCAGTAAAGGACCCTGTCATTGATTGGATAAACGATTTTCTACTGGAAGCGCCGGATATGAGTTACCTAGCTCCTTGTATTTAAGAATAAGCTATGTTTCATATGTAACTAATTTCTAAATCTAATTCTATCAATTCTCCGGTTTCCCAGTTTTCGGGTAAACAGTTAATTTGATCTGCGCAGGAAAAATCTTGAATATAAAGAGGACCTCTATTTTTATTATGACAAAATCTCCAACTTGAATTAAAGGATCATTAGGTCTCATTTCTTTACTTGATTTATTTAATCTTTTAATTTCCCTTTTTACTCTTCAATTATTATAATGTTGACCGTTACATCCTTCCTTTGACAATATTTCTTTGCCAAGCCAGTCGAATCCGAGACCATTACAAAAATTGTGCTGTGGGTTTTGCCCAGTTGTTCAGATTGATTTTTGCTAGTGCATGCTGTTTGATCTGAGATTTGCACCAGTTGAACTGCAAATAGTCAGTTTAGTTCGCAAATGATTGACAAATATGTACTATGTTCATCCCGAGCTGGTTTTCTGCTGCTTTTTCTGTGTGCAATTGTCTTCAAATGTGGTAAGAATGAACTTGGATGTCTGGAGAAGTTGTTATTCATGGCTTATATTCGCAATATCTTCGCTTATCTGCGTCCATATCCAGCGTGACAACGTGCCTAGAGATTGTTTTAAAGCAGCCAGCAGGAATGCTTGTACATTTATACTAGACTGGGGGTATGTAATTCTCTCTGTTTTTGGTTTTCATTTGTAATCTCGTCCCGTGATTTTTTGTTTAAAAATTTGTTAGATGGCAAGTCAAATGTCACTATTGGTTCCAGCCATTTTAGACAATCTTTTGACAGCTTTGGAAGATGATGTTTGTATGTATTGTGTGTTGAGAAAAAATCATTCGATTTACCACTATCTGTTGCAATAGATACAAGTGTCGTGTCTTCTTCACTTTGATCGGAAGTATTTAGAACTCCGTTTTTTTCTAAACGTGTTTTTTATACCACTTACAGTAAGCCCGGTCATGACCAGCAAGCTATTATAACCATACCCATTCACAGTTTAATCGCAGCCAGTTAAGCCTTTCCATTAACTGTGTGTTTGAAACCCCCGAACCCAACCTAGGAGATCAGTATCCTATAGCAAAGACAAGTCGTAGCCATAATATCGCAAGAATGGCAATGTATCCTTTATATTTTATTTGGAAAAAGAGGTAATGATTTAGTGTTTCTTGAAAAAACAAAAGTTACTACATACCAAACTTTTAGCTTTTATTTAAAAAAAGGGAGAAGCATATTATAGGAATAGAAAAAGGGAAAAAAGTGTGTAAACGAGTCTTTAAGATGATTTAACTTAAACAGTGTGTGAACGAGATTAATTTGTAAAAATGATAAACAAGAGTTTATGTCAGAATAATTTAATTGTTTATTTAATTAATCGTCAATAATGTAAGGGTCTTTACTTAAAATAGAAGCATTTCCAAATATCCCGAGAAAGGCGGGAACTTGGTAGTTGTCTATCCGCTTTTCAGTAGTGGCATGAAATGATAGTAAAGCATATTTTAGGATTGACAAAAATCAATCATCCTATGTAAGTTAAGATGATTTGGCATGTCAATCGATGTAAACATTTTTCTTAGACTTAAGGGCAGAATTTCACTTGATTTTAAAAAATACGTTTAAAAACAATATGAAGATGTAGAAATTTCCATAAAAAATGTCAAGGGTAGCCAAGTGTATGAAGGAGCAGTACAATCTTAGCATTAAGGTTGTAAGTCAACACCCTGTTGCCAGAAACAAAGAGGGAAACTTTCAGAAACGTGCAAATTGGGTTGAACAGTGGGTTGAAAATGGTATGGGCTACCTCAAGGACTGTACATCTATTGATGAGTCCGAGTTTGATATCAATATGCGACATAGTCGAGGCTGGTCACCACGCGGTTCAGAGTCAATGACTGAGACTCCATCGACGAAAGCTACTTCGCATACTGTTCTTGGTGCAATCTCGGCAATCTATGTTGTGAATATAAACCTGATGGGGTCTGGAGTTTTGAAGAGAAAGAAAGTAATGGGTACTCCAAAAAGAAGGGCACCTGAGGACAAACTTGATGTACCCAAGGATACTTCAGGTAAACATTATCTTCGGTTTATTCAGTGATATCATGGATTTCATGGATGAGTTTTCAGAAATGAAAGGATACTTCATTGTTATGTACAATGCTCCAATTCATGTCCCTGAAATAATTGATCCCATAATCATGCAGCGAGGTCACGCCCCTGTGTACCTTTCACCCTACTCACCAGAATTAAACTCAAACGAACAATTCTAGTCAATCATAAAAGGTAAAGTAAGACGAACCAAGCTATAGCGATAGAGAAACTCTTCTAGGAGAATGATTGGGGCTAATGAGGTTGTACCGATTATTCATTTTGAAAATATTATTCAATATTCAGTAAATCAGTTTGAAAAGTGTCAAAATAAAATACCCTTATAAATTCTAAAAAACGACCAAATAAAAAATTTATAAAAATGACCAAAAAAATGATCAAACAAATGACCAAATGATTAAAGTGCCCAATTAGTTTCTAAATTCCGACCAATGATTTCAAAACAATGTCCAAATGGCAGTGGAAGCACTGTACTTCTCTTTTATAAGATAGAAAAGATTGTTTTATAATAAAAAGGCAACGCCTGCTACAGCAACTAAAGAAACTAAAGTTCTTGTAGTTAATGGAGCATTTGCAGAAGAAGCCCCGCCTTGAGCAAAGATAGAACCAGGTGATTGAGAATGTCCAGGAGCTCCTGTGCTCTGAGTTTTTGAACCAGTAAAAGTAGGAACTGCAGCAGGACGAATTTCAATGGGGATAGGTAACTTTGTGTTTGTAGACTTGTCCAAGAAGACCACTTGATAATTGCCTGGCTTGACGGTGCTGGGAATATTGAAATTGATCGAATGTTCAAAGTAAGTAAGGTTGCCTTCACGTTTCACAAATGCATCTGTCTTGGATACATCAGCTGTAGCAGCGATCAGGATCGACGTAGCATTAGTGCCAACTACTGTTGCTTCCAAGTTGATCTGAAGAGTGAGAGCTACAGTTTATACATAGTTAGTTCACAATATTCTCTTTTGTAAGTATATGTATATTACCAGAACTATCGACATCTGAGAAAAGCCGATAAGTACATGGCAGAATCTGATTCACTACATAAGGGCCGTTACTAACGGGACTTGTAACATTATAGTTTCTAGTGGGTGCTGTTATTTGTGCTGTGACTCCAATGACAACAGCAAATACAAGAGATGTAATAGTAGCAAATCTCATTATTAAATATTATTAAGAAAAGAAAGAAAGTATTATATTTTTTTTCTAATTTTTGGTATATATGTATATTTCAGTAAAATTAAATAAGAAAAGAAAAGAAAAGAGAAAAAAAAAGAAAAGAGAGAAAAAGAGAAGCGTTTCTTTTTCTTTGAGGAATATTTGATCTAAACAGGAAGTAGGGGGTTAGAAGGGGATTTCTGATGACTCCTGCCGAACTATTTAGTTCCTAATTACTGTTACATTGGTCAGTATAAAAACTTGGTTCTTTAAACCATATAGTATCACACCCAATTATTGTAAATTTAAATAAAACTGGGGGACACTTTTTTTTTTTGGAATACGATTTTTTTATTTGTTATTATTATTACTGCTGATGATGATGACGATGATAATGATGATGATATATATTATATAAATAAGAAGAAAATAAAAAAAATCATAAAAAAAAACTCTTAAACTAAAGTTAAAAAGAAGGCACAAATACCAATAGTGGCAATTGCCATGGAGGCTTCAATACGGTTGGAAGCACTGATAACACTGGGTCCGGCATAAGGTCTAGCTGCAGGGCTAGATGGCAAAGGTGCGGCAGAAGCTCCTGAAGACAGGGGACGGGTAACAGCAGCAGATGCACTTCCAGATGGTAAACTGGCAGCAGAGGAAATAATACCAGCTATAAGTGATAGATTTATTAGGCAATGCACTTTATTTTACCACAGAGAAAGAAGAAAAAAAACTTACCACTTGCGGCCCAAGAAGAAACGGCACCAGCAGCAGATGTATTGATGACGGAAGCTTCAGAAACAACGGAAGCTAAAACGGAAGCGGCACCGGTTGGAACAGAAGAAGGTAAGATAGCAGTAGCGGAGGGAGCAAGTGTAGCTGATGGTGCAGTTGAAGTCCAAGAAGTAGAAGAGGACATGGCAAGTCCGTTTAATGCCATATCACTCATAATCTTTTTATGTCCATTACTACCACCTTCATTTTCATTCTTTTCATTCTCATCTTTCTCATTCTCATCAGGTTCATTTTCGTTTTCTAATACACAAAAAAATTTATACATGTAAAAAACTGGATCCTTTCAAGTTCTCTTTTTTTTTTTCCTTTTTACCACAAGTAACATCACGAGCTAAAATAGCTAACGTAGCAAGCAACAAGAGAATAGATTGAGACTTCATTTTTTCTTTTTAGGGATATAAGAAAGAAGAAGAAGAAAAAAGGTCCAAAACTGAAAAAAAAAGCACAACCTTTTTATAACAAAATAATAATGGTACCTTAAATTAAATTTTTCTAACTCTTATGTCTTGGCCTCTTTTAGATCTTTTTTTCGTGCATCAGGTCTTTCTTTTTCTTGTTTCTAGCTTTAATCTTGCTTAAAAAGAGTTGAATAACCAAGTATAATGCTTTATTATTATTATTTTTCCTAATGTCTAGGCCCCGGAATTTGCAATGGTTATCAATTCTCTGGTGATGCATCAAGTGCTAGGTAAAATACCCCTATTTTTTAAGGAAGCGAAACGGACATATAAATAAAAAGTCGAGATCGTCCTTCTCCCAAAGCATTTTGCTTATCTGTTTACCCAGTCTTAAATCATTGGTCATTGCAGATCATTCATGAACACTAAAAGAAAAAGAATAAAAAAAAAAAAAGAGAGAGACAAAAAGGAGGGAAATGATATAATTTTTATTATAGTTATTATATGAGCAATTATATGTATGTGTTAAATACATCAAGAAGAAACAGTTGTCTACTTAGGAGTTGGGTAATTTTAAACTAGAATATTTAGCATGCATACAACAACAAAAAGTAGGAGTGAATCTAAAACGTCAAAAAAAAGTTTTTGGCTCGTAAGAGATCAAACTCCCTTTTTTTTTAGAACATGCTGTTGTTAGTATACAATAAGTTTTTTTAATTATTAAAAAAAATAGTTTTATTTTATCAATAATGAAGGGGATTGATCGTATACATATTAAAACTATCAAATGTGTCAATTTTTATAAATGCCTATTTAAACTGGTCGAATTTACAAAGATTTTCTAAAAAAACCCCAACAGAAATAGATTGTCTAGAATCATGTCTTTTTGTATACACGCTCTAATTATTTATTAAGTAAATCTAATAACCTTTGTAGCATAGAGTAAACAGATCAAACTCTCTAAAGACCTCGAAAAAAAATTAATTAAAATAAATAATACAATTAACAAATAAATTAATTGCTGTCTTTACATTATTTTTTAAGCTTATTGTTACCCGTTCATGTAGTCTGTATACTGTGCACGTAACCTATAAAGCACGAAATGAAATCGATGGATCCCCCCGCACTCCTTTTTTTCCCCGTTTTTTTTTTAGCCTGTTTTTTCTCGGGTATCCGCTGTAGCCCACTTGCATTTCAGGATCCTTGGACAGTAAGTGGACAGCGCCAGCTGATGACTATCTGGCGTAAATATTTGATCAACTTCTACAAATACTCGACAAAGGCATGTTTCTATTTTTTTATCTACTGGTTATCAAAGATGGCCAATCAAGTTGTCTGTTGATGATATAAGTGACAAGTTATGTACAAGCTCTTGCTGTACATAACATGTGATCATGATGCATACGAGAATTGAAAAAAAAATGTGCATAACAAGCATTGCTCTAAACATTGAGATAGCTATTTATCAAAAGATACATATTTGTTATTAATTTAAGAGGGTGAGGGGGAGGTTGAAAGGCACAAGTCTGATTATAGCCCAAAGATTTGTATAGCTTTACCTTGACATTTATATCAATAATTTGTAGCATCATTGCAAAACTTATGGTCACTGTGAGCACGTCTCATAGCTTGTATACCCAATTGGAGTATATATTCTGCATGAGTAAAATAAGAAAGAAGAGGACGGTGCCACTGTTACGCCTGTTGCGATTAGCGACAGCTGAATCTATATCATTTGTCGTTTCTGTACATATACAATCTAATCTAATAAGTCAGACAGTTTTATCATAATCACAATTTATCAAACTTCAATAACCTACTATTTACATCTATTTTATTACTTTACCAAGTTACAGAGTATTATCACTTTAAATTCAAACAAATAAAAATTATTATAAGATCAGCACAAAAAGGATTTCAGAAATATGATAACAAAATTCAGACGATAAAACTAAACTAGCATTTTTCCCCTCTATTACCCATTTTTAAATGTAATTAAGGAGTGCTCCACTTTCTAATTTGGACACCTTGACACTTAGAATTAAGGAAGCCCGCAAGAACATCACTACGGAAGATTGTGTTGGTTGGATGCGACATTCAGAAACTTACTGGGATAAATATTTTAATAAAGAGTCCAGGCTAAATAAAGGTTTATAGACTCTACTTCTGATTGCATCAACGACATAATGAGAATGACGGACTCCGCAATTATTTATGCCGATATAAAAACCATGCCTATTGTGGCTGCCCAGAATATTTATGACGTTTCGAACGAAAGTTACAACATGATGTGCAGTTGTACTTTTTTATGTATTTACACTCTTCTTATCATCGAGAACTAAATTAATATCATTGTCAATTATTTTTATAAACCCACAATTTATTTTTTCGTTTATGAGAATTTTAAGTAGTGTTAAAGGACTGCAGCCACAATATTGTTAATTTAATAACGATAACATTTTATAAATTTTTATGGGCGAATTACATTAGCAGCTTGGCCACCAGCCATATTTCCTGCAGCACTGTAGTCACATACGTAGAAGTACTGTTTTTTGGCAGCACAGTAAGTGGAACCACAGCCAATCTCGGTGGTACCTTTCCAGACCACTTGAGTAAAGTGTCCAACGGATTTGTTAGAATATCTGGAGCGGCCTGTGTTGTAGTCATAAAATTGAGATTCATCGTACCAGGCCTGGATAGAAGCTTCCAAAGAAGGTCGTCCCCAAGCAAGATTTTGACCTGTTCCCTTTGCCTAGATTCAACAAACATATAATTCATTATCAGCTTCAACGTGTAATAGAATATGTATTTTAATTTTTTACGTTATTATCACTTACGACATTATGGGCATAGTTACAAGTTCGGCTAACGGCAGTAGCATGGTTTGCTAAAGCTTGATTCCATCTTAAACCGGCGACATGATGCTTGGCACGTAAGCTGTTATGCGCATTTAAAGCTTGAGTTTGGATACTGTCAGTTGGAGCAGCTAAGACAGCCTGAGAAATTACAGTAATAGTAAATACAACTTTCAAAAAAGTGGATGAGAAGAGCATGATGTTTTCAATCAATTGTAAACAACTGTTGATGAGTAATTTACTAAATACACAAAATATTATACTCTTTATATACATCTTCTTTTTTTTTTATTGGTTGTATTTAATATGTGGTATTTTCCTTAGCAATAAGCCTAAGTGAGCCTAAGCCGATCCAGGTATTACTCGTGCAAGAAATCCCCATGTGTTTAAGCCTTCACTGAGAATTTAAACTTTAAATAATGGCACAGTACCTAAGAGTTATTTTTAATTGCAGCAACAAATTCAATAGAATCTATTTCATGTATTTACTTTGTGAGCTACACTTTGATGTTTTGATGTTTGATACTTTATTATTAGAAAAAAAAACTAGACGTTATTAACTAAGGTAGCCATTTTTTATATTAATAATAAAAACTTTTTACAGTAAGCTTCGTTAACTTTTTTTTAAATGAGATTTTTCATAACCTGTTTTTAATCGCTCACGTTCTTTTTTTGTTACTCTAAATTTAAATACAGAAATTATAATCCTCTTTCAAATAATATAACATGCCGGGGCGATCATTTGTGCGTAACATCTCATGATTCACAAAAACAGTTTGTTTACTATAAACATTGTAGCGGCTTTGCATGATTCTCTTAAACTTCGCCTCAATTCCTTTTATAGTAATTCGGGTTGCTCTGCTAATTTTGGGCTGATCAGAGAGCATTCTTAAATGCAGACTAAAATCATGAAATAATGTGTAGCACTTAACCACTTTAGAGATTTGTATAGCGGATAAATGTTAAGAATAATGCGAGGCTTAACAATACATAAAAAAAGCCACAGATCTATTTTTAATGTAACCTCCTGTAAGTTCAAAAGAGATCACAATGTAGTTATCATAAAAGAAAAGTACTTTTTTTTGTATT